ACTGAGGGTTGCGATCCGTTGCCGGTCATGAAAAAAAGACAAAAAGGAAAAAAAAAAAATAGAAAAGGGGCTTTGTGCTAGATGCAATCCAACTCCAAGGGCGTTGCGATCCGTTGCCGGACACGGAAAAAGACAAAAAGGAAAAAAAAAAAAAAAATAGAAAAGGGGCTTTGTGCTAGATGCAATCCAACTCCAAGGGCATGGTCCTCAAGTGGGCCTACCCTTTCCCTTTTCTTGCCAGCACTCCTGTCCTCATGGTCACCATATCTACCCTGCTGCCCAGGACAGAGGCCCGTTATTTCCATGGACCTGGCATAGAGTAGTTAGCACTCTGATCTGCTCGCACTGGGTATACCACATAAACACGAGTTCTTGGGAGTCTGAGTTTTTATTTAGTCATGCCTCATGGCAGGGTTCTGTAAATTTTCTGAGGATAGGGCAAAAGCCAAAGTGGTAATAGCTCCTAGAATCTGTTCTGAGTTCAGAAATTCTTAGCCAGGCTCCTTTACTTATACCTTTGTTCTAGCAACGGTGGCTATACCATTAAACTGACTGCCTCCTTTACAAACATAATCTAAATTCTTCTAAACACATTAATGCAGTAGCTTGTTAACTTATACTAAAATAACAGTAATGAGAGACCCAATTGCATCATTGTTTCGTAAGTTTTCAAAGTAAAAGTTCAATCTGGCTGGAAAAACAGAACGAGAACTTTTTCTATGAAGTATTCTATGGAAAAGTTGCTCTAATTTGGAAGTCTGCAACCTCATCCTTTACTTCCTTTTGGTATGTACCCAAAACTACTATGGCAGGTACTTGCATCTCTAAAAAACTCTGTACCACAGTTCTGTACTAGGGCTGGGATGATAATAAGGGCTAATTATCATCTCTACTTTGGCTGAATTCTGACCATGAGGAAATGTTTCTGGTTGAGATCTGTCTCTCTTTTTTTCTCCTGGGAATTTTCTTAGGATAGTAATTCAATTCTTCAAGTTTCTAAAAGTTTTTAATCCTCAACTTATCTTTACCCTGAAGCCTACTTCTCAGGCTCCTATTGATCAAACTATAAAATGTTCTTACCCTTTCAAGAACCTTTCTAGATGGTGACTCACAGGCCCTCAAGGAGTTTATACCTTACATTCTTTCATCATGTCCCAACTGGTTTAATGTAATTCAGAGAAGTGGTGTTACCGAGGGGCTTGGAGGCTTTGCAGAACTCCATCTTCAAGGCCAGCACACAGCTCAATGTGCATATTTGTGAAAAAGAAATAATTTTCACTGAGGCTTTAGACTTATATCATACAATTCACTTGTTTAAATATAAAATGCAATCTTATTTTGTTTGTTTTTCCAATACAAGTGGCTCTCAGTTCATACATTATTATGCAATTTTCTTTGTCTTTTATCTGAAAGTTTTCGTTCTTAAGACTAAACAAATCAGTGTCTAGTAAGACTGTTTGTCTTAATTGGGGCCACAAAAAAGTCATTACCAGTATAGTATTTGAAGGTGCTTGTCATCATGACTAACATGCTACTTTTGTGAAACATTAAAACTAAAAGACAGTTGGACTAATCAAATTTTGGAGGAAGTTTCACCACTCAGATCTGCAGCAATGTTTTGGGGAAAAAAAGAAAACCATAAACTATAAATAATACTTGGAAAGGGGCTCTGATTTCAAGTCTTTCAGGTCCAACCATATAAGAGATTACAGTTCACTTTAATAATTGCTAATGTATTATTAAACCGACCCAGGTAGTTAAATGGAAGGAATAATAACTATTCTTGAGTATAAAATTGTCTTGATGACTTAAAAAAGAGGACTAATTTAAACAAAATGTTTTAAGTAATGTTAAGCAGAACCAAAGGCATTTTTTGGTTATAAAATCAATGATCAAGTCTCAGTTCATGGAAAAGTAATGTGGAAAAATGCCTAGTGGTAGAAGGCTGAAATAAAATTGTATT